CAAGCACCACCCCAACACCTACGGAGATGGAAAAGGCCACCCAAGGGTTTCTCTGTCCCCATTCCGCCCCCCCCAGCCTCTGCCACAGCCCGGGTTGCCACAGGGAAGGGGTTTCTATTCAAACCACTCCAATAAAAAGCAAAAGAGACACAATTCGCCACTCAGAGGAGGGATACGGGGACATCGGCCATCTCCTACGGCACTGCCACCCCTCCCCAAAGCAGGGGTTCCAAATAACGGCATGAGCACAGCTTCAGACCCGAAGGGACAGCGGCAGCAAAGCCTCCCCGCAAGCCCCGCTCCTACACAGACCGACAAGCGCTACCGGAACCAGCTGAGAATTCCGAGCTTTCGGCAAGAGCTATTCCAAAATTACAGCAGGTGTTGGGAGAGAGCGAGCCCTGCGAAGGGAGACGCAGCCACGCGCTGCCCGAGGCGAAGAGCAGCAACGACGAGTCCTATCGGAAAAGGGAAACGCCAGGCAGGCTCCGCGGGAGGAGGAGGAGGAGGAGGAGGAGGAGGGAACGTGGTGGAAACAGGTGTAGGAAACCAAAATCCACCCGGACTTGGAAACAAAATCCACCTGGATCGCAAAGCAACCGTAACAGGCGCAGAGCGTTAACCTCAGTGGTGAGCGGAGGTGACCGATCCCTGCCGGAGCCGTCCCCATCCACTCCCGGCACAATAGGAGGAGGAAGCTGGCTCTAACCGAAGGAACTTACGGGCAAATAAAAGTTACTTATGGAGCCCAAAATAGAAATACAGAAAGACGGAGCGTGTAATCGTTACCTTGGACGGGTTCTGCTCAGCCCCATCCTCCTCCTCACCTCCCTGGCGAAGGACAACGTGGCCACAAGCGTTTCCTTACAGTTTCTGAGCTTACGACTCGAAAACACGCGTTCAAGGCCAGCCGATTCGGTCCGTAATTACACCAGGAAAACCCACGTGCGATGGCAAACCTGCCTGCCGTTCCCAGAGCGCATAAACGAAACCGAACCAAGAAGAGGCAGCGGGGGAAGAGGAGGGAGCCCGCGAGAGCCACAGCTAAAACAGAACCAGACCCACACCGGACACTTGGTTTTTCAGCATGGGGAAGCTTTGGACGTTCAAATTCCTACTTACTTTTGCATCTCAGGCAGCTTAAAAAGGGGTGGGTAGATGGTTAATCCAGCTTCTGCCAGATTAACCAGCTTCTGCGAGGCTAAAGAAGCCACGATGGGCCAAATCCTGACATTTTTAGGGAGTTTCAAAGCCTGCAGCAGTAACCAGAGGTCCCCAGGGGCTCTGGTCTCCGTGCAGTCACGGCACGGAGGGTCACATCCTGGCAGCTTTCGGCTGCCGAGGTGACACGTGCTCACATCTGCGGGGTAGCACAGAGATTCACGAGTCCTCAAACACCCGTGAAGCATCCTCACGCTAATTCTCAACAAACCACGCTTAGGAGACGGGAGCGAAAAGCCCCTCGTAGCGGCCGACAGCCCCATCGCACCTGGAAAAAGGCTCCGGCCGGACAACCTGCTGCTTTAAGCCGGGTTGGCGGGATGATCCGTGGAGCAGCCGGTGCCGCTTTCGAGCTGCAGAGCTCAGCTGTGGTCTGAGAAAACGATCCCCCAGATTTGAACCAAATCTTCCCGAAGAAGATCCAGCGAAGGCAACAAGGGGCACGGGAAACGGCGGGAGGGGCAGGACTGCCCCGATCGCTGCCTTGCTAACGGGCTCCGTCTGGGGTGAGGATGAAAGCATCTGTCTTTGCTGGCCAGCCTACAGCGTCCAGAGCTCTCTGCGAGCCGATTCCTTGCCAAGGGGGTTTTGCCAGCTCTCTGAAAGGATTTGATAGCTCAGAAGCGCGACAAACACGGTGCTTCCCCTCGCTGGCTCTGCCGAGGAGGACAGCCTGCTAGCGAACTGCGCCTAAAGTTCCTCTCTTCCTTCTCTACCAGGGTGGTAAGACATAAAACCTCTCCTTGGCTTAAAGGAGCTGGAGAAAAACCAACATCAGGACTGGGCGGTCATGAGGAATCGCTGTGGCAGGCGCCGGAGCTCACCGAAATTTAACGGGGAGAGGAGAAATACAAGAAATAGATGCTGTTTCCTTTCTCCGCCGATATCCTGCTGGGCTGCGGAGGCTGGTTTGGAACCCGCCGTGGTCGCAGCACCCATGGGTCTCCCCGGGTCATCCCGACTCAGAGCTCCCCCCCTGCAACACCCCTTTCTCCAGCAGCTACAAAGCAGGGTCTCCCAAAAACATTAGGAACGGGACAATTTCTATCTTTGATTGCCAAGGCCGAAATAGGTTATTGCGACCGTCTGCCTTCCAGTGCTGCCCCCAGGGATCCTCACTCCACGATTCCCGCGCTGGAAGACCTGGCTGAGAGATTTCACGCCGTCTCCTGTGGCCGTAGATCAGCAGCGGTGAAAACGGAGCTCAAATTCAGGCTCAAAACCGACGTCCGGCCTCCCTGCGGCGCTGCCTACCATCAGAAATCTTCAGAGACCGGGAGAGAAGACAATATCAAGGGCATCGGCCCGTGTTATCCCCGTGCAGGGGAAGGAGGGAAGGGAAGGAGGCGGCCAACGTGAGCTTTTCAATAACCTGGAACTCGAGAAAGGAATCAAAGACGGCGGAAAGTAGGTCAGGCTGCGGGTGAGCGCAGAACGAGCGCGCAGGGAGGGGGGAAAAAAAAAATCAGAAAGGCCGACACAAAAGGAGAGCGTGACCCGAGAACCGTAACATGAGGAGGGTCCTCAGGGCACGTTAACCCGGGAGGGAGGTGGTGGCACCTCCAACCCTCTCCAAACTCAACGGGACACGGC